CTCAGAGCTGGTGAGACAATTTCCAGATCGTGTTCAACGCTCACAACAAAAGATAAAGGGCAGTCATTTGAGATAAAGAAGGCCTTTCCTCACAGCTCAATAACTGTTATCTTGCTCACTTGATTACCTTAGCTCATTCACTTCAGAGCTCCTATGTATTCTGCTCCAGTACATCCAAACTCCTGGATTAACAAAAGCATCACATACTTAACTAGGCAGCACTTCCCACTATCACACTTGTAATTCTCAGCTCCTCAGCGCAGCGACTGTCAGAGGTGCTCTGTAGTGTCCAGGGAGGTGCAAGTTAGGTGGGTTGGCCATGGTTAATGTGGTGTTGTGGGGATAGAGTGTGGGTCCTAGTCTGGGTGGGATCCTGGTATGGGTGGGTACAGACTTGTTGGACTGAATGGCTTCTTTCTGCACTGTAGGGATTCTTTGATTCCGGGTAGAAATGTAGGGTGCTCCCAGATGCAAAGGGATTCCAGTGTGGCTTTTCACAATGTGTTGCTTCAACATAGAGTGTCAGCACTTCACCAAGAACCCCTTTGATACAGAACCGCAATTGGATTAGCTGGGCGCTTAAAAACAAATGAGGAGGATAATTTCTCAGCTTCTCGCTTTCAAATGCAGTAATTTGTGTCATAAAGCTTCCTAATCTTATTTTCCATCTCGGATTTAGATGTGAGATCCAATTAGTAAGACCTGGTGTTGACAGAGGTTGAGGACAGAGGGTGCTGACCAGAATTTCCAGCTTGTATTATTTGTTTGTAACTCTTCCTGGGAATTAGTTACACTGCCTCGGGTATTACACCTTTGGTGACTGTGTGGAAAAATAAAATTCTTTCTTCCCAGGGAGATTAACATTGATTTGTTCCAAGGGATGGCCTATCAAGGTAGTGTGTCTAAGTATGATCAGATTAACTTTGTTTTCTGTTAATTGAAAAGCCTCAGGTGAATGGAAAGCATGGAACTCGTCCAGTCTGAAAACCACTTGCACTTTCCAGTGGATGTTCTGGGTAATGGGCATGAGGGCTGTTAGTTTGCACTGGAATAGATGGGGGTGAGCCAGTGGATGTTGGCTGTAACAAGAATATTATTATACTGGTCTGCAGTGCCTCAGGAGTTTTTATAACATAAATAGTGCCATAAGAAGACAAATGTTTGTTCATGGTAGTCCAGTTCCGTCGCTGAGTGTCGGATGCATTAAACTACCCAGGCGTTGAGGCAAATGCTGCTGTGGAATTCTCCAAGATCAGACTATTCCTACTGTGAGGCTGCACATGTGGCATGGCAAGGATGTAAAAGTTGGAGCCCAATTAGGATCCATGGTACTGAGTCGATATGGCACCATTTCCATGGTCCACTGGAAAGGGGCACAGGCTGATGATACCCCAAATGGAAGTCTTGTGTATTGATATAAACCCTTATGGGTATTAATTGTGGCGTATTTCTAGGACACCTCATCCAGTCACAATTGCAGGCAGGTGCGGCTCATGTCCTGATTCAGAAAGGATAACCCCCTGCCAATGTTTCGTACAAGTCCTCTCTGTGAGGGATTAGGTATTTATCCAACTGCGAGAAGCAGTTTACCATTTGCTTAAAATCCCCACAAAAGTGAACTGAACAGTCAGGGTTCACAATCGGTAAGACTGGTGCTGCCCAGTCTGCAAACTGCACTGGTTTGATGATTCCTTCGCTCTCCAGTCTCCTGATTTCCACCTCTACTTTTGCCCGCAAAGCAAATGGCATTGGGGTGGGGGCGGGGGCCTCACAAAATCTCGGAATTGCTTCCTGGTCAACATATAAAGTGGCTTTGGCCCCTTTGATGGTCCCAAGCCCCTCCTGAAATACTCCTGGGTATTTCACTAGCACTTCACTGAGGCAGCCATTTTCCAATCCAGAAATGTTGAGCCAATCCAGGTGAATCTTTCTCAATCAATTCCACCCCAATAGGCCTGGGCCCGAGGCTCTCACTACTATCAGTGGTAATTGCACCAACTGCTTCTCATAGGATACTGGAAGTGAAGTTGTACCCTTAATCTGCAACAGTTCCCCAGTGTATGTTCTCAGTCTGGCTGAGGTCTTGTGCCAACTTCAGGGATGGAGTCCTGAGCGAATCTTGTTAAAGACAGATTCTGCAACCACAGATATAGCTAGTGTCAACCTCCATGGGAACTAGGTGACCAGTTAACCAATCATTAATTTTAATTGGTTCCAATATGGATGTTGTTAAGCAATTTAATTATTCCAACCCACAAGAAGGGTGTCTTTCTGGGGGCGTGCACTCTGTTCGGTACTGGCCCACAAGTTTTCTTACTCAAGTCAGGCCTTGTAGAACTTCTTTCTGTCTCGAGTCCACATACCGGCAGCAACTACAATGGCTTGCTGGCCCAGATCCTGAAGAACTTTTTAGCCACTTGACTGAGGCTCAGCTTTGCTGTGGGGTTCTGCTGTGGGCTGGCCTAGGGTCCCTCTGATCAAGATATGCCCTGCGCGAGGCTCTGTGATTTCCTACAATCAAGTGTTCTCCAAGCTCATTCAGACAGGTGAGGATGTCCACTTCCATCAGGATGCCCTGTAGCTACCAAGCTCCACTTGCTGCATTTTCTAATGACAGCACCAGTTGTAGTGCTTGTTTGAAGTCCAGTTAGGTTTCAGCTGGTCGGCGCTTCTACATGGTTATGTCATTAATCCCAGTCTCTAGCATCTCATTCAGAGTTAACCCAAAATCATATTCCTCTGCCAGCCATCTCAACCTCGTCAAAAATCCGAACACACATTCCTCTGGTACTGTAACAGTCAAATAAAACTGATAGCATCTCAGAATTAGAGGAGGTTTGGGGTCGTAATATTTCTTAACCAACTCTGTCAACTCTTGGAAGGTTTTAGTATCTGGTGCCTCTGGGAAGGTTAAGCCCCTTATAACCAAAAATGCTGTGGGTCCATATGCAGTCAGAAGGATTACTCGTTGCTTTTCATCTGCCTGATTATATTGGTCAGCCAGGGCTTTCCTGCTTGGCCCAGGTTAACAACCCCAATCAGGAACATTGTAGTCACTGAGGTCCACCTGGTCCCAATCATTGCACTATCCTCGAGAGTTCTAGGGGCTGGATCACCAAGTATTTAGATTTCTGAAATGCTGGGGAGTTGAGGGTAATGAAGAGCAGGCACCAAAGAGGGGTTGAGGCCTGGGACAGATCAGCCATGCTCTTATAGAACAGGTTTAAGGGGCTGAATGGCTTACTCTTGCTCCTTTTTGTTATGTTTTTATTCCCACTTGCCTTGTAAAACAAAATGTTTCTGATGTCTCTACTGCATCTCTTACTGAAAACCTTCAGTCTCTGGCTCTACCTTTTTTTTAAATTTCATTTGTGGGATGTGGGCGTATCTGGCTGGGCCCAGCATTTATTGCCCGTCCCTAGTTGCCCTTGAGGAGCTGGTGATGAGCTGACTTCTTGAACCGCTGCAGTCCACCTGCTGTGAGTTGACCCACAATGCCATTAGGGAGGGAATTCCAGGATTTTTGACCCAGCAACAGCAAAGGAACGGTGATTATATTTCTAAGTCCAGATGGTGAGTGGCTTGAAGGGGAACTTGCAGGAGGTCGTGTTCCCCATATATCTGCTCCCCTTGTCCTTCCAGGTGGAAGTGGTCATGAGTTTGGAAGGTGTTGTCTGAAGATCTTTGGTGAATTTCCTTGTCCCATCATTTGTCAATCTTATCTAAATCTGTCAGAATCTTGTACATGTCTTACGAATCTCCCCTCAACCACCTCTGTTTCAAGGAGAACAATCCCAAGTTCTCCAACGTAACCTTGTAGTTGAATACTCTGTGGCCTGCAACCATTCTGAGAACTCTCTTCTGTGCCCTCTCAATGACCCTCGCAGTCCGAAGTTGTGGGATTACAAGTTCATTTGAGTTCTTTTACACATTCTTTTGCAGGTATTTTTGCCTTCTGTATTTCACACTATCCCCTGTGTTTCACTTAGTCTGATATCAAACACACAGTATAGCCACTAATGTACATTACTTCAATTTCTGGTCCTGTGTTGTTTACTAAACCCCACCCTCAACTCCCCAACCCTTCCTCTGCAGAATCTAATTTGTTTCATTGGCAGCAGAGTGATACTTAACACCAAACCCACTTTACCACTTTAATGCCCAAGCAAGCTTATTCAATAATGAATGAGTAATACTAACAGAAACATGACATGTTTAAAGTAATTAAATTTAGCCAGCTCCTTGTATCATTAGGAGGAATGGCTTCCAATTCATGCTGAACATTTCACTTTAATTGCTTTCTCGTGAGGTAGTTATGTTTCAATGAGCTCTAAGTGCCACAAGATGCTGTCACTGGAAACAGGAAAACAACAGTGTGCATTTATATTGCATCTTTAAAATGATAAAGTATCCTAAAGTGCTTCACAGAGGCAATTATATAATAAAGGGGATGAACAAGCTACAGGAGAGACAGTGTTTAGGCTGATGACCTTTCATCAGAACTGGAAGCAGTTGGACAGGTAACTGGTTTGAAGCAATTAAAAGAAAGGTCTGTGGTGGGATGAAGGACAGGAGATACGTGACGAAAGAAGGGGGGATGGTGCAAGGCACAAGGTATTGCTAATGGCGCAAGGAGGGAATGAGAGGTCAGGGTCATGGTGAGGGAAGACACCTTACTAATTCCATGACAAAACTGGACAGCAAAGAATCCCGATCTTCTGTCTGTCTCTTACTGTAGCACTGACTCGTGTTGGCCATCTAGTTCCACCTGGAACAGGCCCCTCTCGCCCAAATACCCTGAGCCTAAGACTGAGTTACGATAGTTTGGTTGGTGGGTGAATCTGCATCTCAGCGAAGTCCAATTGCATCGCCCTTCATTCCTCACTCTGAGTCTGTGGTCGGCATTGTTTTCGTGTTGCTTATTCTCCTGCTCGTGGAGATCGGTCGGTGAAAGAGTTTTAACACTTTGCTCCCTTTTTTTTTGTTTCTCTCTCATTCAGTTTGCTGTTTTGTGGTTCACAAGAGGTGTCACGAGTTTGTTACCTTCTCCTGCCCTGGAGCAGATAAAGGACCAGATACTGATGTGAGTACAGGCTTTATCTGTCAGCTCCTCATGGAGTGCCGACTGCTTTCACAAGGATATTGCTGATGCTGTGTTGATGTGAATAACCCTTTGATTCCAGGATGGGAGATGAAAAATTAACGCCATCACTGGCAAAGCTGCTGGAATGTATTCAGTTGCTTCTTTGCTGGAAAGTTTTCCTGTCAAAGCTGTTGGAGGTGGTTTATTTGAGTGTTAGTGGGACATTATTGAGTCGAGTTTGCAGTCAGTGCGTGCTCCTAATTCAGTAAGCGTGAGCTGCTTTGTCCAGTTTCCTCGCCCTTTTGTTCCTCTGCTCATGTCGATTTGGGTGTTTCACTCCCATTATTGAGACCATTCATGGGATGCTGCTCGCTGTGATAGCCCGTCTCCAGTCTGGAGAGCTGGGATGATGACCTCCTGGTGGGATCCAGCTCACTCCCTGTGCTCTACATTCAGCTGCTTTCACACTCAGATACCCCATGGCAAAACCCCACAGTAATAGTCTTCAAAAAGAGGGCAGCACTTCACTACCTCCTCCTCCACCTCCACCACCTCCATCACGATCAACACCTTCACTGTCACCACCATCTCTACCTCTGCCTCCGCCTCCACCTCCACCTCCTTCACTCCATCACTATCAACACCATCACTGTCACCACCATCTCTACCTCCTCCTCCACCTCCACCACCTTCACTCCATCACTATCAACACCTTTGCTGTCACTATCACTACCTCCTCCTCCACCACCTTCACTCCATCACTATCAACACCTTCACTGTCACCACCATCTCTACCTCCTCCTCCACCTCCACCTCCTTCACTCCATCACTATCAACACCTTCACTGTCACCACCATCACTACCTCCTCCTCCACCTCCACCACCTTCACTCCATCACTACCAACACCTTCACTGTCACCATCACTACCTCCACTACCATCTCCACCACCTTCACTCCATCACTATCAACACCTTCACTGTCACCATCACTACCTCCATCTCCACCACTTTCACTCAAACACTATCAACACCTTCACTGTCACCATCACTACCTCCACTACCATCTCCACCACCTTCACTCCATCACTATCAACACCTTCACTGTCACCACCATCACTACCTCCTCCTCCACCTCCACCACCTTCACTCCATCACTATCAACACCTTCACTGTCACCACCATCTCTACCTCCTCCTCCACCTCCACCTCCTTCACTCCATCACTACGAACACTTCACTGTCACTACCATCTCTACCTCCTCCTCCACCTCCACCACCTTCACTGCATCACTATCAACACCTTCACTGTCACCACCATCACTAACTCCACTACCAGCTCCACCACCTTCACTCCATCACTATGAACACCTACACTGTCACCATCACTACCTCCACCTCCACCACCTTCACTCCATCACTATCAACACCTTCACTGTCACCATCACTACCTCCACTACCATCTCCACCACTTTCACTCCATCACTATCAACACCTTCACTGTCACTATCACTACCTCCTCCTCCACCTCCACCACCTTCACTCCATCACTACCAACACCTTCACTGTCACCATCACTACCTCTACCTCCACCTCCACCACTCCATCACTATCAACACCATCACTGTCACCACCATCTCTACCTC